TCTGTTTTCATCCTTCCACCTTTAACCTATGGCTCTCCTTATACTTAAAGTGGATTTCTTTTCTTTTTTCAAGATTTTACTTATTTATTTGAGAGAGTGAGCAAGAAAGAGAACACAAGCCGGGGGGCTGGAGGTGGGGTGGGTGAGATGCAAAGAGGCAGAGAGAGAAGCAGACTCCCTGCTGAGCAGAGAGCTCAACCCCAGGACCCTGGGATCATGACCTGAGCCCAAGGCAGTTGCTTAACCCACTGAGCCACCCAGGCGCCCCTAAAGTGAATTTCTTTTCAATAGCATTAGTTAGGTCCTGCTTTTTTCTTCTATTTAGTTTGCTAGTCTACTTTCATTTGATATTTTTAGTTTTTAATTAATGTTTACATTAAATGTAATTTTTAACATAGTTTGACTTAAATATTCTATTATTTGTTACCTGTTTGTCCTGGCTGTGGTTTGTACCTTTTTTCTTTCTCTGTTGCTTTCATCTTCATTTGAATTAATTGAGGTTTTGTTTTAAAATTTTAACAACACTACTGATTTACCTCTGTTGTTTTATTTTTTAATACAACTTCAAATTTGATATAATTGTCTTATAACAGTATACTTCCACATTCTCCCTCCCAACTCTGTGCATTTGACTTTTATGAATCCATATATACTAAATGATACTTTGTGGTTAGCATAGGATTAAACAATGATCTTTTCAAAAACTTTTTAAGTGATGGGGCAGCTGGGTGGTTCAGTTGGTTAAGTGTCTGCCTTCAGCTCAGGTCATGATCTCAGGGTCCTGGGATCGAGGTCCCAGCCCCCCTTCCCCCATATTTGGCTCCCTGCTCATCGGGGAGCCTGCTTCTCCGTCTCCCTCTGTCCATCCCCCGACTTTTGCTCTCTCTCTCACTCTCTATCTCAAATAAATAACTAAATCTTTTTTTAAAATGTTAAATGAGAGAAAATCAAATATAATTACCATTTTTGGCACTCTTTATTTCTTCCTATATTTAATTTTCCATCTGCCATCATTTTTCTTACTATAAAATTTGTTATCATTTCTTGTAGTGCAAATCTGATGGTAATTCTTTCATTATTTATTTCTCTGAAACAGTCTTTATTTCACTCTAATTTTTTTTTGAACCATAAGTTATTTAAGAATATGTTGTTTTGTAGCTAAATATTTGAATATTGGGGCACCTGGAAGGGCTCAGTCTCTTGAGTATCCAACTCTTGATTTTGGCTTAGGTCATAATCTTACGGTTGTGAGATCAAGCCCCCCACTGGGCTCCATGCTTAAGGCGGAATCTGCTTTAAAGTCTCTTCTCCCTCTCCATCTGCCCTTCCCCCTGCTCTCTATCTCTCTCAAATAATAAATACTTTTTAAAATAATAAATAAAAAAATAAATATCTGAGTTATCTTTATCTTATTGACTTCTAAGTTAATTCCTTTGTGGTCAGATAATATACCTTGTATGACTTAAGTCCTTTTAAGTTATTCAGACTTGTTTTATCATCCAGATGTCATCTATCCTGGTAAATGTTACACAGACACTTGGAATAAACATACATGCTGCTAATGTCATACCATCAGATGAAGAGTTTTATAAATGTCTGTTAGATCACCTTGACTTATGGTGTTGTTCATCATTTCTATCTTTACTTTTTCTGAATACTTGTTCTATCAATTATTGTGATGTGTAATGTGTCTTTTCATTTTTCTCTGGATATTTTTAAGATTTTCTCTTCTTATTAGTTCCTATAATTTGATTATGATGTACCTTGATAGGGTTTTCTTTCTTTTTTTTTTTTTTTAATTAGAGTTCATTGATCATCTTGGATCTGTGGAATAATTTTGGAATATTTTGGAATACTTTTGGTCATTTTTGTTCAGATATTTTTCTTCCTTCCTCAGTTCTCTCTCGGACATAGTTACGTATATATTACACAACCTGTTGTTAATTTGCACATCACTTCACGTGCTCTTCATTTTTCCAAAAAAGTCTTTTTCTTTCTTTCCATTTCAGTTTCTGTTGCTGTGTCTTCAAGTTCACTGATGTTTTCTTCCTTAGTGTCTAATATGCTATCAATCCTATCCAGTTAGTTTTTCATTTCAGGAATTTCATTTTTCTCATCTCTAGAAGATCTGTTTGGTTCTTTTAATATTTTCCATTTCCCTCCTAATTATGTTTTCCTTTGTGCTTTTGAATGTATGTGTAAGAGCTAAAGTCCTTGTCACTATGCTGTATTCTCTATCATTTATAAGTTTGTGTTTATGACTTTTCCTACTAGTTTGGGTTCTCATATTCCTAATTTTTATATATATCTAGTAATTTTCTCTTAGAGTATATACATTGTGAATTTTATGATGTTGAATTCTGTACTTTGTTGTCTTTCTTTAAAGAGTATTGGACTTTATTTTATTTGTTTTTTTTTTTTTGAAAGATTTTATTTATTTATTTGACAGACAGAGATCACAGGTAGGCAGAGAGGCAGGCAGAGAGAGAGGAGGAAGCAGGCTCCCTGCTGAGCAGAGAGCCCGACGCAGGGCTCGAACCCAGGACCCCGGGATCATGACCCGAGCCGAAGGCAGAGGCTTTAACCCACTGAGCCACCCAGGCGCCCCAGTATTGGACTTTATTGTAGCAGGGGTTAAATCAACTTGCAAATTCCTTTGACCTTCTTATAGCTTGTTTTTAAGCTTTTTGGAGGTAGATTTAGAGTAGTGTTAGCATACAGATGTAGGTTTATTTTGGCCAAATACTAAGAGGCATAATTTTTCTGGGGTCTCTTTCATATGTCCCCTTTTTAAGAGGTGGATATTCTCCCCTCTAGGAATTGTTTGGTCAAAACTCAAACATCTCTCACCCCTGTGTGAGCAGAGAGAATTGTTCACCTTACAGTTGTCCCCCAGTAGTTCTTGTTTTTTGGATTTTTTCTTTTGTTAGGGGTGTTGAACAGTACTTTTTTGTCTCTCCTCATAGTATTTAGTGAGGTAAAATAAGAATTTGATCTTTATAATTGTAATGAGTAATGCCTACGGGCTGAAAAAAGGTAGAAGTGATATTTGAATATATGAACTGTCATGTGAGATGCATAGGAAAGTATTAACTTATTTATCAAGGAAATTTTAAATGAGTGGCAAAATTTAGTCTATTGAAATTACCAAGGGGCACCTGGGTGGCTCAGTCAGTTAAGCGGCTGCCTTTGGCTCAGGTCATGATCCTGGGATCCTGGAATTGAGCCCCGCATCAGGTTCCTTGCTCAACAGGGAGTCTGCTTCTCTCTCTCTCTCCCTCTGCCCCTCCCCTGCTCGTGCTTTCTCTCCCTCTCAAATAAATAAAATCTTAAAGGAAAAAAAAGAGGCGCCTGGGTGGCTCAGTCGGTTAAGTGGCTGCCTTTGGCTCAGGTCATGATCCCAGGGTCCTGGGATTGAGCCCCACCTGGGGCACCCTGCTCAGCGGGGAGTCTTCTTCTCCCTCTCCCTCTGCCTGCCACTTTGTCTACTTGTGCTCTCTCTGTCTCTGTCTTTTAAATAAATAAAATAAAATCTTTTTAAAAAAATTATCAAATAAAGAAGAATTTCCAAGTGAGAATACCTGATCTTTGAAATGGTCTCTTTCTTCTGCTTCTGGGTAATTACAGTTTTTTTCCCCTTTTTCCTTTACTATTCCTCTTCTGGGTTTGAATTTGTTTGTTTGTTTGTTTTTTCCCCTTTCTGATATTTCTTCTTCTTCTTCTTCTTCTTCTTCTTCTTCTTCTTCTTCTTCTTCTTCTTCTTCTTCTTCTTCTTCGGGACTCTTTTTTCATTCTGCTAATATTCTTAGAAATCTTAGCCATTTTCTCAACTTTAATATTTCTCTCCATGCATATTATATCCATCTTTACATATACTGCCTAGACCTGTCTTCTGAGATAGACCTGAATTCTCAAATTCCTTTAGAGGGGCAGTTCTGTTTGTATTACAGTATTACTTCAGATAAAATATACCTAAAACCTAAAGCTTTATACTCTCTCAAAATATTTTCTTCTTTTACTTCTCTTCTTCTCTCAAATGGCTCCCAGAACTTTTCTTATGTCATTTGTTCCTAAAATCTTACAGTCATCTTTGAAACCTCTCATCCTATAATTAATTGCCCAGGCTCATTAATTTTTAAAAATATTTTGTTTATTAGAGAGAGAGAGAGGATGAGCAGTGGAGAGGGGTAGAGGGAGAGAGAGAGAGCAAGAGGGAGGGAGAAGCAGACTCCCCACTGAGCAGGGATCCCGAAGAGGACTCAATCCCAGGACCTGGAAATCATGACCTGAGCCAAAGGCGGTTGCTTAACTGACTGAGCCAATCAGGCACCCCACCCAAGGCTCATTAATTTGACTTTTTCAGTGCTTCTCATATCTTTCCTCTCATTTTTTTAATAAGATTTTTTTAAAGATTTTATTTATTTATTTGAGAGAGAGAGCTTGAGTGGGGGAGGGTCAGAGGGTAAAGCAGACTCCCTGCTAAACAGGGAGCCTGACTTGGGACTTAATCCCGGAACTCCAGGATCATGACCTGAGCTGAAGGCAGTTGCTCAACCAACTGAGCCACACAGGCAGCCCCGTCTTCCCTCTTTTTTAATTTCTGCTGCAACATGTATTTATTCATTCATTTAGCAAATACTTGTTGAATTTACACATATGCTAGGACTTTTCCCCTAAGAAGTTGGAATTGTATGATTTCTACAGTATAGCAGAGTACTCAAAAATGGTAAGACCCAATAAATACTTGTAAAATGACTCACTGAGTGAATATATTAGGTTGAACCATGTGAAACTGGAATTTTTTAAGGTCAAAGTAGTTAAATGTCAGTAATTTCCTATGTTCAACAAGTATACTGCTATTAAGAGTCATACTAATATGCAGAGAAATACATATTAAGTTATTCCTACTATTGTTAATGTTAACAGTAATATTATTAATGTTGTATATAATTTCTTTCATTAAACTATAAAAGTTGACTTTTCTCTCCTTTGCCTACCAGGAAACACGAAACTATCCAGAATCATATCCACAACTGCCAAGGGATGAAACAGTGGAGAACCCTCATCTCCAGAAGCACATTCTGGAATTAGCATCCATTCTGGATGTTCGAAACGTGTTCCTCGAGAGTACCATAGATGACTATTAAAACAAAATCCTCTTGTTGAAACAATTTTTCATTTGCCACAGATTTTACATGGTGCAGTTTTCTAATGTGATGACCAAGACACATAGTGGTGTTACTTAGTTTTAATTTTTTAATTTAAGGCCACCATTTTAAAAACAAACTGAAAAAATTGTTCAAACTTTTAGGGTAACTGTTTTAAAATACAGTCTTTCAAGTCTTTTAAAAAACTCAATTAATCTTGGAATTTTTACTTTTTGGTTTTGAGGTATGGCTACTTACCTCCAGCATCTGTCCCTACACACAAATAGTCACTGTTCTCACCCTCAGAAGAGTAAATCATTTATTTTTATATAATGAGGAAAATCCAGCTCTTATACTTGGACCTTAAATGTGTGGATTTAAAAAAAAATGTGTGGATTTAGAAAATTTATCATTGTTCACAAAGATGAAACTAGCCAGCATGGACTATTAAAAATCAAGAACAGGCTTTCCATAATATTTCTTTTCATTCCAGCTTAGTAGGTAGACAAATGTGTGATCCTTTGAAGCATAATCAAGACATTTTTTAAAATCATTTAACTCATTAAATACTGTCATAATTTCAGAAAATGTATAGGATTGGTTTGCATTTGAAAGTTAAATCTTTAATTGAAGTCTTAAGATGATAAATACCACTTGGAATGTGTGAGCCCTGTGTTATCATGAGATATGCTGGCATAATTTGCTTTCTTTATAATCTGAATGCTGGAAATGAAAAAAAAAAGACTTTTAAGTATTTCGGTCAAAAAATCAGATTGTTGCTTTCATAATACAATGTTTCCACAAGGAATTCTATTTAAACTCTTAATTCATGATACCAAGTTTGAAGACTATCCAGCTTGAAGGCTGTGGCATATAGTACAGAGGTTATCATCTTTTTGTCTAGTTCACGTTTATGAGATGTCAAAGTCAGAGATGTTATTAATTTTAGTCAGGGGTAACTGAATTGTTATTTAACCTAAAATGGAAGTAACTTTTACATTGACAATTTGGAAATAAGATTTTTTTTAACTCCTTATATTTAACATTTTATATTCATGCACAAGTTTTTTTTTTTATTATTTTAAATAGGACTCCGTATATAATACAAAGTTTTTTTGTGTTTTTCTTCTCTGTCATCCGCTTCATAATTTCATAAGCATTTGTTATGATGCTTTGGGTTTTTCCCTCTTCTTTAGACTCCAAGGCATTCAAGTTCAGAAATCTATGAACCAAAAGCCCTTCTACCTAATACTCTGTACAGGCTCACATTCTACCTCTGGCGGTCCCAGGGGAAATAAGGTGATTGCTTTTGGTGCCTCTTTCCTGTGTCCATAGGGAAATTTTACTGTAACATTTTTACTTTGGTTTTCATTTCGGGCAGAGGGTATTATTTGGGTCTAAGTTATTCATATACCTGTTCCAATTTGCTGATTTTTCATCTGAAGTCTTGAAATTACTGTTCTTGGATTTAGGGGACTTCGTGGCATTTCATTCATTCATTTCTTCATTGTTTTTGTTTGTTCTTTTAAACATTATTTCAGAAAGCTTTTTAAGACTTGTCCTGGAGAGAGATTTTTTTTTGCCTGATGGGTTTTTCTTTATCAGATAAAGACTGCTTTTCTTTTTTTTGATATCTTTATAAACTTAATGGCTTTCCTTTCATAACCGCGTTCACCAGGGTTACAGCAGTAGGCTGACCTCTTGTTTCAGTCCCCTTGAATTTCTCTGCCAGTAATGTACCTGACCTCACGTATTTTCCTCTCCCCTGATGCTTAAAATAATATTTATCTTCCTGAGCTTTATTCTCACCTGTTTAGCATAAAGAACACTGGTCTGAGAACTAGGAGACCTGAGTTGTAATTCTGCCTTTCTTGGTAACTAGCTTTATGCCCTTTGACAAGTGTCTTCATGTTTCTGTTTTATTATATTCTCATCTGTAGAATGAAGGCATTAGCCCAAGATCCTGTCCAATTGTATGGTTCTATAATTGCAATCTTAATTTCCCACCCCCTGCCACCTGGAAAACCAGTTCCCCTGAGTTTAGCATAGACGTTTTCTTTTCTAAGTCATATTTAATTTGTTTTTGTCCACAAATATATCGGAGTCTCAGTTATTTAGAAGCTAATCAGGTGAAGAAATTCGAGCTTTTGTGATTAGAAACGTGTTTGTACAAGAACAAGGGGTCTTAGAAATCACAAGGAGGGTTTAGATGATGACATTGTTCCCTGAGCTGATAGTAGTATAATTACTTATTGGTAGTTAAAAATCTAAAGTGAGCCAAAGCGATCTTGAATCTTTAAGAAAGGAAAACTGTGCTAGAAAATTCCAAACCATTGTTTCATTCATGCCTTCAGAATGCGCACTGAACAACTATACTCCAGATTTTGTTCCAGGCATTGGGAAAGCAAATGAATCAGATGTAAAAATCCTTGTCTTTATGAAGTTTATATTTTAGTAGGAGGAGTCAGGCCATAAGCATAATAAGAAAATTTATGTTAGAGAGTTGTAAGTTGTATGAAGAAAGTTTAGAACATGGTAAGGGAAATGTTTTCATTGTTTTGGGGTGAAGAACAGTGTGTAAGTGAGTGATCAGGGTAGGCCTTACTAAGAAGACTACATTTGTGCAAACACTTCATGTTTCTTTCTTTTCTTTTTTTTTTTTTACTTTTTGTTATGAAAATTTTAAGCATGTGTAGCATTTAATGAACTATCTTGTATTCATCACCAAGTTTCTACATTTTAAGACATTACTTTAAGCAAGAACGAAGACATGTAAAAGGACAATCACTCATGGGTATTAGCAAAGAATCTCTTTTTTCAGTGCATACCACTCTTCTTTATATATGTAAAAATATTAAGCCCCTTATTTATTTAATTTTAGAATTCATAGAAATTTAAACATTGGAACTAAAAACAAAGCAAAGCAACGGGGAAAAGCACTTATTTGTTTTCAAATTGCACAACCTCCCCCTGGAGATTCTGATACAGTCTCTCGCCTCCCTTAAGAATCACTGCAAACAGAACAAGGTATAGGATTGCAAGAAGTCCCTTACACACAAAACACTGTTAAGCACAATGGAATTATTTTCTCTTTGTTCACCCGTGTATTTCTGAATTTGGTAAAGCAACTATTTTCCCTGTTTCTCAGAAGAGAAAGCTCAGACCCCAAAACACTACATTTATTCATAGTGGCAGAGCTAGAACTAAAACTCACATCTCCTAACCTCAGCCCAGTCTTTCTGGTAGCTCAGGTTGCTTTCTATAATGAACAGGAAAGAAATAATTAGAGATTTCTATTTTGGCACAAAAGGTTAGGGTATTTTTAAAGTAGATCAAATATTGAAACCAGGAAATCAGTCAGCCCAGCAAATTTTTATTTATTAATTTTAAGAAATCCCCGAGTCAGACAATTTAACCTTTATTCCAGCCAGGATATATTTTTTGTATATGTGTGTGTGTTTTCCTCTTAGGAAGTGGTGCTCTCAAAACCCCTCAAAGCACAGAGAATTTATTGTACCCTTTATATTTTTACCAAGTTGAAGTGTTTTGAAATTATAAAAGCAAAGTGCAATCTAGTCATGACTGAAATTTTCCTGATACAGGAACTGGGTTTATTTTTTCTTTACTTGTGGCTACTGCTCTTTATTTCTTCTTGTAATAGAATTCGCTGAAATAGATTAGGTGGCAGTTGTACTGAATTCCATTGAGGAAAACAGAAAAGCATCCAATCTGATTTATATGTCAATTTGTGGTGCTTTCTTTAGCATTCTTCTCCCAAGTTTAATCTCTGACCTGTGTGACTTCGTAACTTTCTGTCTCTTAAAAGGGGTTTGGACTCAGTTGAAAGATCTTGTACTTAGTTATCCATGAAGTCTTGTAATCAGCCTGATATATAGAGAACAATCTGGACTGGAAATAGAGTAAGGTGCCAAGGGTCAGCAATTGTGGCTACTGCCAATGATTCAGAACCACCTCCCTACCCTAAGTGAGTAAAGAGATCTGATATGAATATGAATGGTATGAATCTCCGGTGATATTTTAGATGTATGTGTTCCTGTGTGTGTTTGGAGAGTATAAAGGGTATTTACACGGAGGGCTCTTTTGTTGACCTTATTTATTTGAAAATCTTATTTTATTTGTGATCGCATGTGTATATTTTTGTGATGCTAAATGCAATCTCTGTGTATACTTCTTTTGTAAATATGTACATATTTGTAAACATATTGGTATGCAGTATGTGTATATTATATACCCATACCTATTGTGGGCTGAATTTATTTGAGTTCTGTGAGGACATCATGGCGGCATTGGCCGTGCAGCTGTAATTAGGTTGTGGCTGTGTCTCATTCATGAGCCTCTATTCTGAGGGGCTTGTGTTTGGGAAAAATTGGCTAATTTGGAGTTGGAATTAGGATGTGAAAATATTAACAGAAAGCAGGATATTCTTAGCTTTAAAATCATCTGCCAATTTCCAAGTAAATGGACGAGAAATTAGTGATATAAGCCTGAAAACCCTTAGTGTGTGAGACTGGGACACCAGCAGGTTCTTAAGGTCTGTTAGTCCTTTATTTTCTTGACCCTTAGTTGAGTAGTAGTATTGAGTAGTATTTATACTGAGAACTAAGGGGCTGTGGACAAAGTTACTTTGATCACATTTCAAAACAGATAGGAAAATGTCCATTAAATAGAGAAATCTGTTGGTAGTTGCCATGTCAATACCTGATACTAAGTTTTAATTTTGGAACAGTGTTTTTCACCGATGTGTCTCGTTTTATAGCTGTCTCTGTGAGGCAGGAAAAGGGGCATTAGCTAGAGGAAAGCTGTACCTAGGTGGAGTCAGATTTAATAAGGAAGAGGAGATGATTAATCTGTATATTTGCAGCCGCTGTGATTAATTTAGTCCTGCCTTGGCGTTTCAGACTACAGATTTTTCTTATTGGAGTCGCATATCAAAGATGAGTAGGCTCATCTGAGGAAATGCTTCTAGTGAATAAAATGCCTCCAGTTGCATTTCTTTGTCTCTATGAGACCACTTGTGTTCTGCAAATTGATGATATATTCACACATGAAATAGAATTCTTGATATTAGGTGCATGGCGTGCTATCAAGTCTGGGCCTCCGAACCTCTACCAAGGATGATGGGCGGGGGAGGATATTCTCTTAGAGGACAGTGACTATGTGCAGTGCCAGTGTATGTACACGGACTATCTCAGAGTCTCAGTGTTTGGTTACTCCTGTTTCCACCTGGCACGTGTATTTGCACGGACAAGGGTAGGAGATGTATAGTAAACGCTTGAACACATTCACGAAAAAATTAAGTAGAGGTTATTTTTGCATGATAAAATATAACTGCAAAACAACTGTTTACCCCCTTATTTTTCAGACGATTACATCTGTGTGATAGAATATTAAATTAGTCAGAAGTCGGTTTTACCACCCAACAAATGTTTATTTGCCTCTTCATTGTATTTTTAATAAGAAGCCAGCTATTCATAACACCTCTCAGTTACAGTATTAAATTTTTTAAAAAGTTGTAATTGCCTTTTTGGTAAGTAAATATGAAAATTTGGTAATGTACTATTTCTGAAAAATCAGTGGAAATGTCCGTAGTATCTGACATTCTGTTGTTTTAGTAACCAAATCATTCATTGCCATCGGAGAGTAGCACAGCAGATGTTATGCTATTTAAAATTCATAGTACTGACTCAGGCTCAGTATGGACATTAGTTGGAGGAAAGGAGCAGCAGTAAGAAGTGAGATTGACATTGTGAATATGACTTCTGTTTTTAACAGTTGCAAAGCCAGTTACTTTGCCGTTAAATGAGGTAAGAATTGCTTAGAAAACCAAACCTTTCCCCCATTCTGTACTTTATTTCTGTTTGTGCTGCACCTCCCAGTCGTTCCTGAATACTGTGACCCCTTTACCTTACAATAAATAAATAAATAAATAAGGCAATTCATCTTCCTCAAACTAAAATTTCAGAACATGGTATTACACTGTGTTCCAGCTTCACTGAGTTTTTGAACAGAAACTTATTAAGCA